TACTCTCTGTTCACATATCATAAGGGTGATATCTCCTTACACGTACTCATTTATGTCGATGACTTAATTATTGCCGGCAATAATTCTGCGGCATTATCACGCTTTAAGCGCTATCTTCATACGTGCTTCCATATGAAAGATTTGGGACCTCTCAAATATTTTCTTGGTATTGAGATGGCCCGCAGTCCGGAGGGGTTATTTCTATGTCAACGCAAATACACTCTGGACATTATCTCTGAAGCCGGTCTCTTGGGTGCCAAACCAGTGGCTTTTCCTATAGAACATAACCATTCGCTAGCCTTGGCAACAGGGGACCTACTTCCTAACCCCGAGTCATACCGACGGCTGGTTGGCCGCCTCATTTATCTCTCTTTCACCCGGCCGGATCTGGCTTATGCTGTTCACATTCTCTCTCAGTTTATGCAGGCACCCCGACAGGAACATTGGCAAGTTGCCCTTCGTGTAATTCGCTACCTGAAGGGTTCCCCAGGCCAGGGTATTATACTATCTGCTTCTTTCGATTTGCAGCTCACTGGCTGGTGTGACTCCGACTGGGCAAGTTGTCCTCTCACTCGACGCTCTCTCACAGGGTGGATCATTTTTTTTGGGAACTCTCCAGTGTCCTGGAAAACTAAAAAACAACATACAGTATCTCGTTCTTCTACAGAAGCTGAGTATCGTTCTATGGCGGCAATCACTTCGGAATTAAAATGGCTCAAAAGTCTTTTAATGTCTCTCGGGGTGACACACTCCCAACCTATATCTCTACGCTGTGATAGTCGTTCTGCACTCCACATCGCACATAATCCCGTGTTCCACGAACGCACCAAACATATTGAGGTTGACTGTCACTATGTTCGTGACGCCATTCAGGATGGCACTCTTACTGCTCATCACGTTTCTACCAATGATCAACTAGCTGACATTTTCACCAAGGCTCTCGGTCAGCGACAATTTCATTTTCTTCTCGGCAAGTTGGGCATTTTTAATCCCCATGCTCCAACTTGAGGGGGGGGGGGGGGGGGGGGGGTATTAGATTACATTATATGGGCTTGTAATTTAAATCTTTAGATTGGTTAGATTACTACGTACATAGTTGGGCCAAGGGCTCTTATTTAGACTTAACCTCATGTATATATATATAGGAGCTCTCTTGTACATGGAAGGCAATAATACAATTAATAATATTCCCTAAATATTGATAGATGTCAAAAACAAACCTGGCCCACAATGACCCGTCCTGGCCCGAGACATTTGGGGCGGGTCTGGCCCACCCCGTCTTGCAAATGGGGCAGGTCCGTCCCGTCCCGCCTATACAATGGGGCGGGTCCGGGTATTAGTATTGACCCGTGCCACCCCGCCCCGCCCCGACCCGCTCAATATATTAGTATATACACATTTTTTCTTAAATTATACTACAAATATACTTCAACATACATATGTGTGTATACAATAAATCATAAATTCTTGGGAGAACTATCAAATAAGCCCTCGAACTTTTATAAAAAGTGCAAATAAGCCCTTTTATAGGAGACTCTGTCCGGCAGTCGCCATTTGGGGTGGTTTCCGGTGGAATTTTTTGATGAACTTTTTTGAGTATCATCTTCATTAAGCCTAGTTTATTCAAACCAAATTTCAGCTTAAAATTCAATCGTGAAGGTAGTCAAATGAATTTTTGAAGATAACTGTGCAGTTAGACTGCACAATATATTTCAGAAAATCATTTGACTGCCTTCTCGATTGAATTTAGCTGCAATTTGGTATGAGTAAACTAGACTTAATGAAGAAGATGCTCAAAAAATTTCATCAAAAAATTTCATCGGAAACCGTCCCAAATGGCGATAGCCGAACAAAGCCTCATGTAAAAGGGTTTATTTGCACTTTTTATGAAAGTTCGAGGGCTTATTCGATAGTTTTCCCTAAATTCTTTGATCTTATAATATATCAATATATATATTAGATTGAGATGAACGGATTATCAATGTCTTCTTTATACTATCGTATATAGCATTTTAATACATATATTCATTATTATTATTATCATTAAATAGATTAACTATTCAAGTCTAAGTGATTTTTTCTTAACTTTTGAAATTTCTAGCGTATCGTGAATTTGATTTAATATATTAATTTTTAATAATTATTTAAAGATAAACTTTATGTAGATTCAATTGGTAACAACTTCTCACAAATAAAAATACATACTAGCTAATTAGGTTACGACGGGGCGGGGCGGGTCATGGGTCAACAAGTTTGGACTCGTGCAGGTCACGGGGTGGGGTTGATCCGCCCCGTCAAATCACGAGGCGGGTCTGCGTCTTGCAGTACCCGCCCCGCCCCGACCCATTGTCATGCCTAATATTTCGACTCTCAATATTCGGAGCCCATCCCATATCCAATTCAAATGGTATGGTATCATCAATTCAAGATCGATAAAAATAAATTCATTAATAACCTTTTAAAATTAGTTATTCAGTTTAATACCATTACGAGCCGCGGGGTGGAACCCTTTTTTGTTGCTATGTCCAATCCTAATTTTATAATTATTGGTTCTATAAATCTTGCATATTACATCTATCAACTAATAACTTTATTCACGTAAAGGACTTTTCAACCATAATGTATTATTTTTTGTAACAATTTCATGTTGATGGGCACATTTGTGGTGCCCTTTCTGCCAAAACTTGTACACTAGGATAGCAGGGGCAGATCTATCAAGAGAGTAGGGGGGGGGGGGGGGGGGGGGGGGGGCAGCTTCCCCCAATAAAGCACTACTAGACCCTTAAATTTTATTAACAAATATTAAAAGCTCAAGAGTTTGCCCCCCATAGAAAAAATTGGTTGCCCCCTATAACTTAAGATCCTGCCCACCAGAGCCTAAAATTGTGTGAATTTGAAATTCAGATTCACAATCAGTGACTTATGCAAAAGGCTAAACCCATTTGACGATGGAGAATTATTTTTGAATAGAAATTAGAGAAGAAACCTTCAGCTCTGAGCTGTGAGCTGTGAGTGCAGAAGCAGACTAACGTACTCCCAACTCCCAATAGATTAGTCGCACATATGTTCTGATGTTCACTTTATTTTCAATTCGTTGATCAATTAACCAATTTGAATGTTCATCTAATGGCCTTTGTAATTAGTTTGGTTGTTTACTCAATTACTCCCAGGTAATCTGCTGTGTGTGTGATTGTGCAATTTGTGTTGTTTACTTGCTAAAGGCCATACACTAACTTTTTTTTATATAAACATAAATATTTGATAATGTTATTAATGATAACGTTATTAGTTTATTATAGGATTATTAACTTACCTAAATGTAAGAAAATAGAAAACGTCATTTAGTAAGTTTTTTATGGTTGTCATTTAGTAAGATAAATAATCTAAAAGTAAATAATATGTCATTTTCAATGATCAAATAAAGTATATTAATGTATTCAAAAAAGATTGGGAAGATTTGAAGACGCTTTAACTCCAAATGATTTGAAATTCAATCAACGGGCTTGACTAGCGGATTAAGTTAGCAAGTTGTGAGAAGATGTTTGGTAATTTAACTGTTTGATCATAAAATTAGTAGAAAACACCATATTTCAAAACGTAAAACCAAAACTCTCCAATTTGTAGCGTTTCCATTTCAGCGTTTTCGTCCAAAAACGTTAGTACAAAACAGCTATTTACCAAACAACTTTTTCACTTATTGAAAACGCTAAAAGTGGTCAAAGTGCCATTTTCGGCTAAAATGCTATTTACCAAACACCCACTAAATCAATATTTTATTACTCCGTATATTTTTTTTCTGACGCATTTTTCAATTATTCTGTCCCCAATTACTTTTTATCTTGGATCTGCCACGGGAACTCCATCATAAAGTCAAAGAAAAAGTTATCAACTTATCATGGTACAAGACATCATGTATTTGCAAGTAAGTCACAGAGACTAAAAGCGGACATGGAAAAAGTTATTGGACTAAATTAGCAAAACATTAGTAACAAGTTAACAACAACAACATTATTAGTAGTAATAATAGTAATAATAGAAATATTAATAATAATGAATACTAATAGATGACTATATACTTGACTAAATTCCGGGATATATAGACTAAATTACCATCAATCTGAAGTTTGAACTAGTACGTACGTGTTGGTGTGAGTATTAGGTAAAATAGAATTTTTAAATATTGATTTAATTTTTAAAAAGGCGATTTCTGGTTCTAAATATTGAGCTTTTAGTATTATTTTAGATTTTGAATTAAATTACAGTACACCAATTTTCACTCTTGAAAATCCACTATTTAAATTTTATGTACAAATTTAAGAATAGTTGCGTGTAAATAAGTAATAAAGTTTTTTCTTCTAGTTCTATATATATAGTATAAACTCGGAAAATTGCTCTAAATAGGACTAAAAACGTTTGTGTTTTCCGAATTAAGATTATCATATTTTTGTTCCCGAGAATATTACCCGAAATAGGACTAAAACAGCTTGAAAATTCCAAAATGGAATTGTCATGTTTTTATTCCCAAAATAGGACTAATTACTGCCATGTTTTGACACTACCAAACTTCAAACATGGCAGTATTTTCTAAACTTGGCAGTAATTACTTCTATTTTGGGAATAAAAAACATGACAGTCAAATTTTGGAATTTTCAAACTGTTTTAGTCCTATTTCGAGAATTTTCCCTTTATTCCCTAAATGGGAGTAATGACTGTAATGTTTTGGACGTGCTAGACTTTAGACATAACATTATTTTCCAAGCTTGATAGTAATTAATCATATTTGGGGAATAAAAACATGACAATCATATTTTGGAATTCTCAAACATTTTTACTCCTATTCAAGTGATTTTCCCTATATACTCTGTACATGGATATATCATATATAGTATATGTAACGTAAGGGGCGTAACCAGGAGTGAGATTTGGGGTAGTAGTAACGTACGAGGCATATTAAATATGGGGGAATGAATGCAAAAAATCTATTAATAGCATAGTTTAATTAGCAATTCTACTTGAAAGCATCAATCGAATTCGATTTGTTATACCCCGGCCAGGAGAGGGACTAACGAAAATGCAAAATTTGAGCATTTCTTTGTATTTATTATTAGGACTGTTCTTATCGGTTGGAAAAATGAGACTGTCATTAGCCGGGGGTCAAGATGGATATTCATGTTCAATACCAGAACCGACTGATGATGAGTGCTGGAAAGCGGTACTTGCAACTGTTGTAGCAGATGGAGCTGAGGGGCGTTTTCTACCCCCAAACCCTCCTTCACCTAAATGTTGTGCAAAGGTTAGAAATTGGGGACAAGGTTGCTTTTGGTCATGGGTGAATGGGGAGGCTTATAAAATCGAATGTGATCCCGAATTAATCTTGTTCAATGGTGAAGATATGTGGGATCATTGTCAAAATGAAACGCAAAGCCTTCCAAGAAGAGGCAGACCTTTTATGAGACGATTTCATTAAGAGTTAGTTACCATTCGATGCATGTAATTAACATTACTTAACTTCACTTTATATACATTTACATGCATGCATATCCGTAAATGACATACATATATACATAAAGAGGGATGCACGCACACTGTGCTTTAACAAATTCGCTATAAAAAACAAATCACTTAATATATAAAGACATATATGCATCCGTTCCTAAACATTCTACTAAGTCTAGAATTTGGTATGCTGTTTGACGTGCACTTTGTCGTGGTGTGCACTCAAAATAAATAAATACAATACAACAATTATACGTAGTATAACGAAGTAAGGTTCGTATCCACAGAGAAAGGAATATCTTTCTTTTAATTAAATAATACAAAGGGGGTTTTTTGAGTTTGATTTGATTTAATGTAATTAACACTAAGATGAATGACTTATATGAGTTTAATTAATAGAGATGATGACTTGGTTTTGCTTTTATCCACTTAATGAAATGTTCGTCGATCCCGGTTATATCTTTAACTATCTTCCTCTTGAATACTCAATCGAGGAGTATCTCCATTTCATCGAGGCTAGTTATTAATAACGAGTCGCGTTCATTAATAAAACTTACTACCGAGTCAATATAAAACACGCGCCGTATATTAACCCGATAGTAGCAATAAACTTTATATGAAAACAATTGAGATTGATAACCTCAACACAAGCGGTTTATTGGTTTAATAATATAATTAATTCCCCTTCGGTTATTAACCATGAGACGCATGCATTAATAACCCAAGTTCACAACCGTGAAGGGACCGAACGATTAACAAGCGTATTCGTCGATCGATTCTAGTAATAATTAATACATGAAACAAAACTAGTTGATCCTTTAAGTAATGTTCAAAATATTAATATTAAATATGAATAGGAATTAATTAATATTCAAAGAAGAATATTATTAAAGATGATGAATCCTACTATAATTAATGTCAAGATGTTAACTAATTGTCATCTTAGCAACACTCCCCAACATTAATATAGAGGAAGAAAATACTACTATAATTAATGTCAAGATGTTAACTAATTGTCATCTTAGCAACACTCCCCAACATTAATATAGAGATAGTATTAAGGAAAGAACTAATAATTAATATTCAAGGAAGAAGATTAAAGAAAATAACTCACAACTTACAATTCATTAAGCTTCAAAGTAGCAAAACCAAGATGAAAGAGTTTAGCTCCTCATTTGGAGACTAAACATGATGAAAATATAAAGAAAGAACTTATCTAGACTGAGCTTAGAAGTATATGTGAATTGGTTTTTTTTTCTTGTGATGGAAAGGGGTGTATTTATAGGCTTTTGGGCTGCAGGGTCGTGTACCCGATCGGGTATATATAAGGTACCCAATCGGGTATCCTCATAAATGTGTACCATATGCACACCCGATTGATTATGGAATAGATTTTATAGGCATACCCGATCCGGTGTGTCGGTGTACCCGATCGGGTATAGTCGTATAGACACTTGATCGTGGTCAAAATCTTTCCTGCACGTTCCTTTGTTCCTTTGTTCCCTTTTTGTCTTGGATTTTTGCACCTTTCTTCCACTTTTGTGGTTCACCAATGATCTCTTGATTGAACATGGACCTGTTTTAGCTCAAAATAGACCTAATCTAAACAAATCACAAATATTTTACAAACACAACTATTACACCAAAAGTGTGTAATTTCCAAAGTATCAAACAACAAAACTAACTAAAAATACAAACATACACATGAAAATTACATGTGTATCACTGTTTATTCTAACAATAGATTTGAACTCCAAAATTAATATATCAATTCATTGGCAGTGACTTTATGATAAATTTAGTCATGACAAGTATAATGTTATCTCAAACTAAATCTATATATTATGAGAGAGGCCGGAAAACACACACTGTCTTGGTTCAATAGTTACTTTCATGTGTTCCAAGATGTGCCCAAAATGTGTCGTGTCTCTCATGATTGGGGTTCAGTTGTGCAAGTGTTGAACATTGTGAAATGAAAACACATCATTTCACACATGAAGTATGTATTGATCTCAACTCAAATGAAAATTATACCATTATATATACACTAATAATTCTATAGATCGATATGAATAGAATGTACCAAATGGTTTCTTGGTTGGGCATACCAATTCTCACAAAATATTCATTTGTTCATAATATATTTCTTGATGAAATTCATGGTTATCAGAACAACTACACTTTCTGATGACATGACAAAGACCAAATGTTAATCTTATCACATATCGTCATTCATATCCCAATCTCAACGATATGATCAATGATTGTGGATATTTTAAGAACTTATGTTATGTCACTCAAGATTATAATCACATAAGTGTTTAAATATAAATCATAAATACTGATTGTGATTTGATGCTAAATTTACCGCCAAACTAGCGCCAATGTCCGAAAACTATGTGATATAATGAGAGCCTTATTTTCCCCAATAAAAAAATCCTAATAATAAAAAAAATGATCAATGCTCAATATTGACATTTTCATTTCTCTTGGAATGAACAATAATGTGAAAGAACAAATTCCTTGGATGGTTTCCCTTTAACATGCATAGAAATTTTTAATTTCTTCTATAAATAGAATTTTAATTTGTAAGCATGCATATGTCATTATTATAACCTGTAGATTATGTTACAGCTAAATAAATATTGTTGTTACAACTGTTTTAATTAGCTAGATTAGAGAAAACAAGGTAACTAGGTAAGTTCTTCATTCAAAGTGAGTTTTTGTTATGTTCTTTAATTTGAGCGTGTGATTTAATATATATATATATATATATATATATATATATATATATATATATATATATATATATATATATATAGGAATTGGTTCTAATACAAAGGGGTCTTCCCATGAAAAGTAAAATGTGATCTAAGCCCTTGATCACTTCAAAATGAACGGAGTGGATCAAAAATCACGTTAGGAAATACTAAACCCAAATGTGCAATACTTAATACTAAAAGTATATATACGATATGTAAATGTGCATACTTACTTCATTAAAAACAGTTACAATTTGATTTTTATACTTCTTATTTTATTTCGAAGTGTGATGCACTTTTACTATCTCGTATTATACCTTTTCAACACAACGATTCACTTTTTCTTTAGCGGATCCAATAAATGTTGTGCATAATTACAATATTGTAACCGCGTTTTTTATTTAAAATTTGATCTGATCCTCCCATTTTATCAATTTAAAGGCCTAGATTAGTTCTTATTTTTCACCTAGGGATCCCTTTTTATTTGAACCAATCCCTATATATATAGGGGAGGGTTCAAATACAAAGAGGTGTTCCCATGCAAAGTGAGAATTAATCTCGTGCGTTCATTTGGAGATCTAATGGCTCAAAATGGTTCAGAATCCTTTCTGATAGAGTATTAACTCCTAGATTCTAGAGAGAAGTGAGAGCTAGAGAGAGAAGTGCAATAATATGCTTCAATAGAATGAATTTGTAACCCCTATAACTACTCCCAAGGGGAGTATTTATAGAGAAAATTAGGGTTGGGCTCCCAAGCCTTGGGCTTGGGAGGCCCATTTACAACTGGACCGCTACTGGGCCGAATACAAAGCCTCTAATGGGCTGTACAAATGAGTAAGTATAGGGTCCGATTCTGGGAGGTCTTCGTGGCCGACGAGGGCTTGGCCGACGACGGCACGGCCGACGAGGGCACCCGGGTTCTTTGGACTCAGGACCATGATCCGGGTTGGCTTCTTCTCGGCCGACGGGGGCGTCTTGGCCGACGAGGGCGCCGCTCTGTTGTCTTGTGCTTTCTGTTCTTCCGAGTATGTGGGTCCTGGGGCTCAGACCCATATACTCCATCAGGAGTCCCCCACTCTCTAAGCTGAGATGTAGACGAAGTGAAGGAGAGTAGATTTTTGTGCTTTGTTGCTTTTGGCCGACGCGGGCATCTCCAGGCCGTTAGCCGTTGCGGCGTCGGCGTTGTTTCCTCTTTGGTGATCCTGTTCTGTGCCTTGGCCGTTACCTGTTCCTCGCTGTGGGCGGGGATGCCGTTGTTTCCTTAATTTGTTTTAGGACGATGAGTGTCCTTCTTTCAATGGTGGCCGTTGAAGGCGCGCCTTCCCTTTCCTGGCCGTTGGTGGTTGAAGTTTATGTTTGGGCCGGTGAAGCCGTTGAGGTTGTTCCTTGCTTTGAGGACGATGGCCTCATTTCCTTTGTGTGGCCGTTGCGGGTTGGCCTTCGTGTTTTTTTTGGCCGGAGAGCCCCCCGTGATTAAGTGATGGCGAAGGACGATGAGCGTCCTTGCCTTTGGTGGCCGTTGGCCGTTGCAGATGATGTTGTGTACCTTCGGTCAACGAGGTGCAGTGTGATGCGTGGCCGGTGTGGCCATGCTCCGTGGTTACCTTGTTTGCATTCTTTTGTTTTGTTGAGGCCGGTGTAGTCCCCCAGTCCCCCACTGCTTCAGGCCGAAGAGTGTGAGGGGTGAAGGAGTTGCTTGAGTCCCTGGCCGAAGCGGTCTCGCCGTAGTCCCCCTGAGTCCAACTCTCATGGCGATTTTCTGGCCAAGGTAACCCTGTGGGAGAACCCTTGTGCACAGATCGCTTGTAGAGAGTTATCATCAAGGGTTATTACGAGGAGCCGAAGGCTGTGGGCTATTTGTCCCCTTTGTTCTGTGGCCGTTACGTTCCTGGCCGTTGCCATCCTCTTATTGTTTGGCATTTGTGATATGGGTGAGCAAGTGGGACGTTGTGGGCGCTTGCTGGCAGTTGTAAATCCGTTGAGCGTGTGTAGGCCGTAGAGTCTGATTTGCCAGTGGTCCGTTGATGCGGCTTGGGCCTGGCTCGTTGGTGTCGTGGTGGCCTCCCATTGGTGGCCGTTGATGTGGCCATTGGGAGAGTGCCACGTGTGGTGACCGTTGGTGGGGGGGTCTATAAATACCCCTTCCCCTCCGACGAAGAATCACATTTGCATTCTGAATTTGTCGAAGTGCTGGCCGATTTTCTAGAGAGAGAAACTCCAAGCCTGTTCTTCGTGTTCTTCGTTGTTTGAGGTTAGTGTTCATCACGATCTTCCTCACTTTTTATATTTTGCTCCGTAAGTAGTTGATCTAGTGTTAGGCGTTTAAACACCTTTAGATCGTAAGTTGT